AATGGTGGGGTGATGTGATGACAACAGGTACCCTAGAATGGTGGGGTGATTTGATGACAACAGGTACTCTAGGATGGTGGGGTGGTGTAGATAAGAACGAATACCCTAGAGGGGTGGGGCGATGTGATTGACAACAAGTACTCCAGGAGGGTGAGGTGGTGTAGATAAGAACGAATATCTTAGAGGGGTGGGGTCGAGTGATTGACAACAAGTACTCCAGGAGGGTGGGGTGATTTGGATGACAACCGACACTCTATAGGGGTGTTGTAGTGTGGATAACACTACAGGTATTCCATAGGGGTGGGGTGGTTTAGTGTCTAAAACCATAAATATCCCTCGGGGTGTGCTGTCGATGACAACAGGTACGAGGGTAGTGAGGGGGTTATGACAGCGCCACTCTAGAGAATTAGATTACAAGGGTTGATTACATGGATTCAAATATTTTCCTCCTTCCCCAAGGTATYGCCCTGGTCTTAACGCCAGCCTACATCGTAGGCACGTATAACTTCCCGATCCCAAGTGGCATTGCCGGGGAGCTATTCTGTCGTATCGTTGCCTCGTATTTCTTGGTATTTTCTCTTGGTATTGTATCGGTTTACACCATCACTTGTCTTGCTTTAGAAAGGTAAGCCATCACTGAAATCAAATAATGATTATTAAAGGTACACGACCACATCAGCAACGCTGTAAAACTTATCGTGCCTAAATAATAATAATAATGATAATAATAATAATAATAATAGTAATAATGATAATAATAATAATATTAATAATAATAATTATGATGATGATGATGATGATGTAACTTTTATAATTTCTGATTGGTTGGGAGCTCGTGCTTTATAGGAGCACACAGCATGCGAACGCACTTTCAATTGCGCCATTCGTACTCAAAATAATAGTTACTGTATTTAAAATTGAAATTAAATGATTTGCTTGCTGGGCTGTATGCAGTTATAAAGCACTTGGGGATTAAAGAAGTGTTATAGGAGTAAGTCGATGTGATTGACAATGCGAGTACCGCCTAGAGGGACAATCACCACGTGTAGCAGATTGCTTCTCGAGCTTTTCGCCAACCCTCGTACCACTCGCATGCTTTAAAACTGCACACAACTAGCGAGCACGATTTTTATTTCTTTTTATTTCTATCTCCATCCTTACTAGTCATCTATCTCCTCCATTCCTAGGTGGTTTGCAGTGGCTCGTCCAGCGAAGTACAAAGCCAGTTTCAAGAAGAGCCGTGTGGCAGTGATAGTCTCTCTCGTATGGCTGTGCTCTTTCTTGCTCAACGCTCCTCAGATGTTCGAGATGACTCTGGGACCGGACAATAACTGCATCTGGATCAATAACCTGACAGAAGGAAAGATACGAAAACTGATTGCCTTCGTCGAGTTTAACGGGAAATTCTTCATCCCTCTTGTTGTGACTTCAATCGCGTTTATCAACTTAGGTCTCAGAGTACGTCATTCTCCCGCACTTTTTAAGACCAATCACGGCCAAGCAGGTATCCGTCTACTGCGCATGTGCGTGACTACAGCGGTGGTGCTTGGGATCTGTTGGTTTCCTAACCAGCTCTATTACTTGTTGTTTAAGTTTGATCTCACGTATATGGACACTCCTATACATCACTTCACTGTGATAATGTGTATGGGGAATTCCTGTGTCAACCCGTTCATCTACTGTGCCACGAATAAAGCTTATCGGGAACGCTTCATTGGTATATTGTGCCCTTGTTATAAGGGAGTCGTAACGCCTCTTGAAGGGCACAGTGATTTAGGCAACAGGAGTCAGGTTTCTAGAGCCAGAGGCGTAGATGCAAAGGATAACTTAGCTGTGGAAAGCATTATGTAAAAGGATATCTTCCTGTGTTTAATTTACTTTTGCTCAGGTCTGATGGAATAGACYTCTTTAGCTTGGACGTAATGTTTCCCCACTTCAGACCATGTGTCATTTCCTAGAGTATCATTTCTTTGTGTAATGGTTGCACATGAGAAGACACATGGATATAGGTACAACTCAAACAAAGATATTATTCTCAAGAGAATGACATGTGGTTTGAAATGGGAATTTCACCCATGACAAAGAGGTCCCAAACAAAGATATTATTCTCAAGAGAATGACATATGGTTTGAAATGGTAATTTCACCCATGACAAAGAGGTCCCAAACAAAGATATTGTTCTCAAGAGAATGACATGTGGTTTCAAATGAGAATTTCACCCACGACAAAGAGGTCCCAAACAAAGGTATTATTCTCAAGAGAATGACATGTGGTTTGAAATGGAAAAAACATTAAGATCAAGGTAAAGAGGTCTATTATATTGTATCCATATTTGAGTTGTATCTATATTCTTCTCATGCACAACTGTTAGACAAAGAAATGATACTCTAGGGAATGGCACGTGGTCTGAAATGGGAAAACATTACTCCCAAGGTAAAGAGGTCTATTACTTTGAACATTCAAGATGCATTCTAGTGAAGGTCCGTGGGATTTCAAAGTGTTTGTATTTTTGAAGTTGGCATTATTTACTTTACCATTGGTATTTGTTAATATTTAGACAATGATTGGAGGCTAACCCTGAGTAAATGAGTCTGTAATCAAGGAACACAGCAATATTGGATTAATTCAAAGATGCTATTAGATAGTATTATGGATAATTTCAGTAAGAAACGTATATCAACCTCTCTTAAATATGAAATTCTGATCCTTCAATGTGGATATAAAAGCAAAACAAATGTACCCGAAAGGTTTTTTTGAAGTGACTGGGAGTTTGGTCATTGAAACCATGTGACCGAAAAATTCCTTGAGATATAAATGACAATGAAACAATCGCCATCTTGGTTGGTCTAACGGGAGAAGTTAATGAGGAATACTTTGTATAGTCAACCAACATGGTGGGTATGACGTAATTAACATGCACCCCAAGAATTACACGTCGCACGGAGAGTGCACTAGTCTGTTCTTGATCCGAACTTCATCCSAACTTCATCCGAACTTCATCCGAACTCCGTAATTCATCCGAACGTAACCAGAGTTAAATTCGGGCTGCACACAGGCTTCGAGTGCACATTTAAAGCTAGCTCTGTAACATATAAGCGTGCAGCACGAAACATGTCGAAAAAGTTGGAGAAAATACCGATCGAGAAAATAAAGCGACAATGAACTTTTGGAGGCAGACATTTGAAATTTTTAAAAATGGTGTGAGCTGTAATGCGTTTCCTATTCTCTCAGCACGTCATCGTGTTAATGGGATCAATCCTTGAATACACCATTTATGAGTAGAGTTGGCGGTTGATTGAAATTTAAGTAAGAAGATGAATTTTAAACATGAATTTGGTAGCCATTGACATGCTTATTAACTGGAGATAAAATATATACTATAATTATAGCTTTCTTCTCAATAATTATTTTATAATTGTACAATTAATTTTTTGACGAAGTATTGTTTCAACTTCGGAGGAAATATTTTTCTGCAGCCTGTGTATTAACAGACATATTTGCGATGTCTTTCATTAAAAAATCTCTCGATTTGATTGGTCAGACCAAGAAACCCATTCGAGTGTCATCAGCTGTGATGACAAAGCTGCCCCGCTTCCAGCATAAGAATAATCCCACGAAAGTCTCTCTCTTGTATTTTGTTGATTTTGAAACTGAAAAAAAGACATAATTTCGAAATGAGGTTCTTGGTGTGGTTCATTTTTGTTGCATTTTTTGCAGTTGTTATTGCTGACGATGAGGACGCCATCTTGCAAAGCACAGGTACTAGTCTTTTTATTAGTTTTAATAGCTCTCTCTCTACAAAAATGAAGATTTGTTCCTTATACATGACGATTCTAGTGAAAACAAGAGTGTATTTTGAAACAATGCTATTGAGTTATAATATGGGAAATATATTACAAAAATTACAAGTTAGAGTCTACGTATACACGATCTGACACGTTTATTTTCTATGCGTGAAAACCGTAAACATATTACTCTATCGAATGCGAATTTTTTTTTTCTTGCGCGCATATGAGTGTATACGTATGAAATATGTGCGTTATAAATATTTCAAGATTACATTATTTTTCTCTCAACCTCGGAAATGACTAAATGGAGATAAAACTTTACAAACACGAGAAGCTGAATATTTCTCTGAGGTAAACTTAGTCCTTATGAAAAAGGCAGGGAAATAGTTGGTTTCCATCACGTTTTGCATAACTCCTTAGCCAAATTATGATAAGGGTATGGAAAAGCTGTTGATATGGAAGTAAGAGTAGCCATATAGCAGCGAGTTGCTCTACAGGATAATAAAATATTTCAAATGCTATAGCACAGGATTTGTATCACACACACTAGCTATATGTACACTATTTTTACCTAAAAACTAGAGACTTCTCTGTTGTTCACAGGAAATTAATTACAGTTTTCTACTCTCTTCTGACTTTTTCTTTCTTTTCGTGTTCTCTCGTTCGTTCGTTCCTTCCTTCCTTCCTTCCTTCCTTCCTTCCTTCCTTCCTTCCTTTTTTTTTAAGAATACGGACAAGATATAGAGAACGACGAATACCTCAGCGAATTGGATATCAACCAAAGTAAGATTGCTCTTCTGTCTACTTAATGTTTATATAGTATTTCAAGTATAGTTTTCAATTATTCTAAATATAATATCACAAAAACAGACGTGGCCATCTTGCTGTATAGATAGTTAATGTAGTTAAAGATACCAGTTACTGTTAAAACGATCAACTGTGACGTCATCTATTCTATTTAAAATTCCCCTAGGAGTCGATTGGTTTGTCAAACAAAGGAGGATGCATCACTTAATGTTAACTCAGTTGTAGTTGCCTCTTTGGATAATAAAAACAACGTTTTTAGACAATGTCTGAGTTTCTCGTTTCCAAGTTATCTCTTCCAAAAACGGCCGAGGATCAAAGAGACCCTGAAAACGAACAAAGTGACACTATAAACCATGTGATTTTCCTTTTCTTTTTCTTGTGTTTTTAGAAGAAGGTGTCGATCTTTTTGAAGGAGATATCATGATGGATCCAGAAGAACTCGAACAGCTGAAGAAGGAATGGAGCGAAAAGCAATAACCAGTCAGCCATGTTGAATCCAATATTATCTCAATTACTTTGAAAACCTTGTGATAGTCACACATGTTTCATAGATTTCCCAAGTAGATGTTTCCAAGTGTCACGTCTTTTCCATTGTACTTATCATTAGTCGTCATAAAAGTCACGCAAGTGCTGCTTAGATGTCATACTTAATTGTCACGCAAGTGCATTTTACTTTTTTATTTTACTTTTACAGCAGTCTGCCTGCAAAACTATTCAAATACACCGCCAGGGTTCTTTCATGACGATAAAAAATTCTTTCCACGTATTATTTTTATTATTTGTTTTATTATTGTATTTTTGGTTCTTTTTGACTTTTTTTTGCAGAGGAACTTGGTTGTACAACATTTTAGACCAAACAAACTTTATTCTTGATTCAGCTAAGACGTCATTTTTGTTCTCGTATGAAATTTCAGTATCAGGTGAAGGGGAAGTTTTAAATAGAAATGTACCTGTTTGGTTGAACATGGAGGGCAGTGTTTGCCCTTCGCTGAAGGCTGATAATAGATGAGGTCTATTCAGCTGATTGAATAGAATACTCTCTGGTTGATAGCACATGACGGGCAGAGTTTGTCTGTCATTGTAGGTTGGAAATAAGATTCATGAGGTCCATTCAGCCGATTGATACCAAGCAATTTATTTTACAAATGCATTTCTTATTAGACTGGTTTTCTATTCAATTAACTGACGCGGCATTTTTCGAGGAGTCATTAGCCTCGATGCCCATGTTTTGGACGCCCATAGTAGAATCCCAGGCACCAACTTTTTGCCTGAAGTTGGTCGGGTGCGTCGGTCGCCATGAGCCCCGTTGTTCGTTCCAGGAAAGAACGATTGGAACAATTCTTTGGAACTCTCTCCTGTACTGCTTGTTGCTAAGACAATAAACCCATGGATTTATACACGAGTTGAACATCCCCAGCAGGTTGAACACCCAGTACCAAATATCTGGCAGAATAAGCACGTTAAATTTCTTGAGGACGAAAAAAGTTTCGGTCGGAAACCAACAAAGTGTCAGGAAGAACGCTGCCAAAGCGCACATGCGCACGAGGAGTTTCTTAGCCCTGATGTCATGATTTTGGTTATTTATGGTGGTGTGTGACAGGTTGTACCATATTTGGGCAAACGAGACCCAGGTCACGATACTTGGAATGTAGAACGTGACCATCACGTGGACGAGTAAGAAAACACGCTCAGCGTTGTAGTCATAGGGCGGATCAACCCACTTGCATCGTCCGTTCTCAAGCTTGGTGATAGATAAACCAATAGCCTCGGTGAATGCGCTTGATATCCATATAAGGGCAATGTAACCAAGGAGACGGCGTTTCCCGAACGCGATCTTGTACCTGATTGGTTTAATGACAGAATACCAACGATCAATAGCCAGGCACATGACAGTGGCGTTTGATGCTTTGCCAAAACAAAAGAGAAAATATGTTGAAAACACGATTCGACAGAATATGTCACCGCTGTTGCCGTGGAGGAGTGGAAAAGATTCTTGGGCGATGACGTAACCAGGAGTCATGAATAGAAAAACACCTGACATAAAAGTTAACAGACAAAATTAGTATTCAAGGTGAGAAAAAGACCGAGGAAGACAAGGAGATAAAATGAGAACCGAGAGAAGAGGAAAATTTAATTAAGACACAAAACCATAATTTTGAAGAGGAGATAAAAAGGAAGAGCAGAGCAGAGCAGAGCAGAGCAGAGCAGAGCAGAGCAGAGCAGAGCAGAGCAGATATTAACCCTTACTTTTCCAGCGAAAAATCACAATTTCATTGAAAGGCATTAATTTTTATCCTATATTCTACTCTGATTTTTTTACAAAGATTTCTTAGCTTTGTATGTTGTTGCTTGGCGATATTTGGCGATTTCCAAGCATAAAAATCTCCTGTTGTCTCTCTCAATTTTGATAAGCTGTAAAGCAAGTTTTGTTTTCGCAGCACCGTATTAGAAGCTATAACTATATTTTTGAAAAATATATGAAAAAAGAGAATCCATTGCCATGAAGATAATGTCATGTCGCCCTGTTTCTTCTTGCAATCAAAACTGTTAACAAGAGGACAAATATTTAAACTAAACAACTAACCTGTCAACATGTCTGCGATAGCCAAGTTAAAGATGAGTATGTTGTAGGTCTTGGTAAGCATGGTTCTTCTTCGTAATATCACTATGCACAAGAGTAAGTTACCAACAAGGGATAGACCTGCCACCACGCCAAACAACGCGCGCATAGTTGGGCCACCCTCTTTTACCACATCTGAGTTGGTGGTGGAGTTGTTGGTCGAGTTAACCATGTCTTTGATTCAATAATACGATTCTGAAATAGAGAGAAGGTTTGAGAGATTTTTAGCAAGGGGTTAGTGTACCCCTAGTAATGCGTGTGTACTATTTACACGTTCAGGAACAAAATTGAGAGACAATAATTGGATAGAATGACTTCTCAAAAGCATTTAGGCAGGTATTGGATGGCTATCGTACTTTAACTGACGAAAACCACTCACACATACGCTTTTGAGTGCTACGTTCTCAAATTCCCACTCAACAATCAGAAAGAGAAAGATTACGTCATTCCAAGGTCAAAATGTAATATGGATAACTACTTAATTTTGTAATTAAGAAGTTATATATAGAACGTTGCTTTGAATTAGTCTAACGGTGACGCAAACAGGAAATAGCTTGGCTATGAATAGGTTTTAATAAGCTAAATATAACTGGAAATATAGGAGTTTTGCAATTATTGATTATCAAGACATAAGTGGTTGTTAACATCATAGCTGTTACGGCGAAGTCGTTGACATGAATATTGTTATGAATATAAATTGCTGTTTTTGTTGTTCAGAGTTGTTGCTGTAATTGTTTATGTAATTATTAATGTTTGTTGTTGTTGTTCAGACTATTATTTGTCATTATCATTGTTTTTGTTGTTTGTTGTTACATTATATTAGTATATTTTTTTACATTTATTTTTACACAATTTGTCGTTATCAGTATCATTATCAGTATCAGTATCAGTATCATTATCAGTATCATTATCATTATCATTATCATTATCATTATNCATTATCATTATCATTATCATTATCATTATCATTATCATTATCATTATCATTATCATTATCATTATCATTATCATTATCATCATCATTTGTTTTTGTTGTTTGTCGTTACTATCGTTTCCAGTCAAAGTTTTGCAATATCTAAAGTAAATTTATTCAATCAATCTCACCAATAATTTATGGCTGCAAAATGAAAACATGTCGAAAAAGAGGCAACCATTCAGCAATTTAGTGCCAACCCATCAATATATCATCAATCAATCCCTACTCCACTAAGCTTGTCTCAATCAACTTTATTCCCGTGTCACCCAAATATCCTTCCATTTCAATATACGCCTAATTATTTGGCAGTTTTCAGCTTACATTTAGCTCTTTACACACGTTAAGAAGACGTATAGGGCCTAGTTTATTCATGGCCTTATCAGATGAGAACAATTACCTCACACTGCGAACTAACGGCTATCAAGCTATATGCAAACGAGACAGAKAAATGTTTTTAATAGGTTTTCCCGGTAGTTTCAAGTATTCGATGATTTAAAGGTTTTTTTTTTCCAGTTTCTCCAACGACTGAAAGTCATTCAACAACTCATTCACCGACTGACTATCTTTTATTTTTTTTTGTTATTTTGGATTTTGTTTTTTTTCAAATTAATGAAATAATTACTTTTATTTTCTAACTTTCCTGATATCTCCCAGTATGAAATCATAAGTGTTATAGAATATATGAACTGACATTACGATGAGTATCAACAGTCACATTAGGTTTATCCGAATTAGTTTCCAATTTGAATGAAACCTGTTCATACATAAATTGAATACTAAAAAGTCTATTCTAAATAGTTCACAAAAAAACTTGTTTGTTGATGGTGAAAAGGTTGTACGCGGTCAAGTTGAAGAGAAAAGTAAAAACAAAAAACAGCTGAAAACAAAATCCGGCAATAAAAACGATTGTAATCAGAACGAGAAAAGTTTTACTCCTCTCACCTTGTGATATCAGATGGGACTTTAACTAGAACGCTTCAGCATTGCTTCTAAAAAAGGTTCACAAGACAGATTTTATCTTCTTGCTTTGGTGATGGTATCTATAGTATGGAATCACTCGTTTAAAAGCGAATAATCACGGTGTATATATCCCATGTTTGGACCCGAGCTCGTCAAGCGAACGTATAAATGTACACAGTTTGCCAGCAGCTGTTCAGGAAGGGTCGACTTCCGACTGAAACGATTTTACCAATGTTCACTTTTTTCATTAAAATTATCTAGAAATTACGTCCAAGTTATTAGAATACAGAATAATTGACGTGATTGGAAGGGTCTAATTTAACGATAATATATATATGTACATCTAAGAGTAAACTATTTGATGGCAAGCAACGAACAGGAACAGTAACATGACAAAAGTCTTCTTGTTTGTTTTTCAAAACCAAATTGTTTTTGCCTTTCCACCGATGAGCATTAGTCTTATGTGTCACCAAAAGCGACAGTAAAGATACAGTCAATGAAAAAACAGTAATAAATTTTAGTGGTTTTTTTTTGTGTGTGTGTTTTCGAAATTGAATAAATARATAAATAAATAAACAAACAAACAAATAAACAAACAAACAAACAAACAAATAAATAAATAAATAAATAAATAAAAGGAAAGGGATAGCTTAGTCATTGAGATCAAAAAGCGTGGAAGACGACAGTCGCCATTGATAAGTACTACAAAAACGAATGTTCTCTATATTAAACCAAATCATTCGTCGTGCTACATATATCGTGGAAAATTCTCACTTAGGTCGAAGTCTACTTGTGATTCTGAGCCGCACAGCAGAAATATTTAAGACTTTTACATCTTATGCCCAAACAATTATCCAGGTTTCTTTAAAATGTAAATCATCATTTTGTATTTTCCAAATAATTTCTTTTGGGATATGAACTAAATATCCTTTGAATTAACACTCTTTACATCCTTAGTCGTTTTTGTATCTGAATTTTAAGAATATAAGTTGAATTCTCAAGCGATGAAACTTAGAAAAGAAAGRAATGATACTCAAGGAAAAGACATGCAGTCTGAAATAGCAAATCGTATCTACGTTTTGTTCAGCTCCAGAATTTTTCACGTACGTGAAGGTTAAATGGGAAACCGTTCGGCATATGATTCTTTCATATAACGTCGATTTTTTAAAAAATTATGTGCTAAAATAGACTCTTTTAATGGGAGTTGATGGGGAAGAGCGACCTTAGGAACGTCCGCACTACTCAACAGTACTCAACGACCGCCACGGTGTAGTTAGTTTTAAAGCCAGTCATGACTCTTTTAAAAACCTCCAGTGCATATAGCCTCGCATCCAGAAGCTGCTTGTATTGTTATTTTAATTTCTGCTTTTGTTTACCGACCTCAGAAGTGAGGCAAAGCTCGCATACAGTGGAGTTTTAAGAGTCGTCAATCAAATTTTCATCGCAAATTTTCAACGTGTGACTTGTACTATCCTTGTGAACGTTTGACGCAAAAGCTAGATTGACTACATGTGCCAGTAAAATTTGTGCTCCAAACAAATTTCAGCMACTGTATCGGCAGTACTCATCCATATAACTCATTAACCTAACTTGTGAAACTTTTGTAGAAACACTTGCAAGTAAAGTAGCTTGTCCCACGAGGTAAGTTACAGACGTAAAAGTTTTATTATGTAACAAGAAATCCGCAGTAATAAAATCTCGGGTTTAAAACACACTGCGGGCTTATGTACTTCAAACTGTCTTTTTGAACTGGTTTTTGAACTTACCTTTAGTATCTTAAGAAGAGTCATAGGAATCCTCTAATGATACGGTTTCGGCTCTTGATGAAGTACGCCAATCTCTCCATCCAAAAAACATTGAGAAATCGGTATTTTTCTATGAAGACTCAAAAAACGACTAATCGAATCCATCACCTACTTGACAAGTTTGAAAAAATAAGGTTTGATTTGAGCCCAGCTGGCACCATTTCTAGCCTATCCTTGAAGAGCGTACTTTAAACAAAAACATCTGTGCCGCAGAGTACAACGACACTTGCTTCGGTGACACAGCTGGCAAAGCCTACATAAGTCGCAAATGACCTTGCTTTGCTTTGCTTTCCATCCAGCACCCGGCAGCATTCCATTTTAAATACAGAGTACAGTAACCCTCTCCTATAGTTGAGACTGCGTTTTGAGCCTAGACGTACGACAATTAACCATTCCGAAGTTTAGAGAAAAACTGGGTGGAGTTGGCAATACAGTGCATTTGGGGTTGTTTTAGAGGACGAAATAGCTGCCATTTTAAGGATATGTTCCCCAAAACAGCCCACAATGCACTGCAAACCCAATTCCACCCAGGTTTTTTTAAAATCTAGGAATGGCTTATGGTACTCTCGCGGTTATGGACCTACTCAATTGCCCTATTTCACTATGACGTCACTGCTTGTTTATGTGGGGGACAGAATCGCCAAATCCAATAAAAAATTCAACAAAATTTGCTCCTAGCG